TTCCCGACGCGTCCGCTCAGAATGACACATTAAGGTGTTAAAATATGTTAATCAAAATCAAACTTTCTAAATCTAGTCTAAAACTAAAATCAAAACGAAATAAATAGCGATGAGCTATTAGTCCTAAAAATACAAATACATTCGGGCTGGGCCTGCAAGCTTAAAGATTAACAATTTTATTTTTAAAAAATAGATTTTATAAAACTGTAAGAAAACCTGTAGTTAATAATCAATATAAAATAAAAAATTGAGAAAAGAACAACTCACCGCTTTGTAACCCGGCTCAGTGATCTCAGTCTCTTTACTTGTATATGTTTGTAAAATTGTACATTTTTTGCTTTAAAAATGATTGAATTATGTTGTTTTTTATCTTCCGGTTAAGGTTTTTATGCCTTTAGTAAATCTGTATGCAATATTTTTAGAACTATCAACAATTTTAAAGTTGTTTAAGTGCCCTTTTTTATGGCGGCCATTGTTTACATTTGAAACAGCAGACTAGTGGATTTGTTGCCAATCTAGAGAAACTTAGCTTCGCAACAACAAAGATGACGCCTTCATTTTTATTATGAATGCAATTTAACGATGTTTTTGCATGAAATGCAATTTAACGATGTTTTTGCGTGACATCTGTACGAAAGGACAGAATAAAAGACTCTTTTTCTCCAAGAAAATTAAAAAAACTACTTTAAAATGAATTCTGAAGAGAATTTTTCGTGGTGTCCTGTACGTACGTGCGTACGTATGTATCTCGCATAACTCAAAAACGAGTAGCCTCAGAACGTTCAAATTTTGTATATAGGGCTGCTATAACATGTAGATGTGCACCTCGTATTTTGGTTGCAATCGGCCCCACCAAACGTATATAAATATATTTATATATATATATATATATCTACTCAGTTACCCGGCTCAGTGAGCTCAGTTTTCTTTACTCTTATATGTTTTGTAAATATGCATTTTTTGCTTTAAAAATGATGAATTATGCTGTTCTTATCTTCCGGTTAAGGTTTTTATGCCTTTAGTAAATCTGCAAGCAATATTTGTAGAATTATCAGCAATTCAAAAGCTGTTTAAGTGCGGTTAAGCCTAATTTTTGAATAACATGGCGGACATATTTATTTACATTTGAAACAGCAGAACAGTAGATTTGTTGCCAATCTAGAGAGACCAAGCTTCGCAACTACAAAGATAACGCCTTCATTTATTACTGCGAATTAAATCATGCTTAATCCTTTCTGGAATTTGTTCGAGGAAAATAAGTTTTTAAGATTTACTTCGTAATTTTTAATATATATATTTTGAGTTTTTATGTAGTAAAAACTCAAAAGAGGACTTGCCTTGTCGCGAAGTGAGATCCGAATTAATTGAATGAGAAATATTGAATCGTCTGTGAAAAACTGTTTCTTTTTGTTTTGTTTGCTTAATTTCTTTTATACATCGTTCTAGATATATTATAGTATTTGAATAGATCATGTGGTAACTATTTGATAATTCTTCAAATGATATAAATTTTGTGCATTCTGAGTTATAATATGAACGAAATATAACGCTGTTAAGTGAGCCTAGCGCCAGAGTGTCGCTATGGTAAAAAAATATAGTGAATTTTAATGAGTGCATTTATTCTATTGTGCTTTATTCGCTATCGACAAAGTAGATTTAATTCAATCCAGTAAGTTTAAAATGAAATGCAAGAAAAAATGCGTATAATTTAATATTCCGTACAAGGAAGTCATGTGGTGTACACATCAGATATTTTTTCTTTTAAATGAAGAAAGATGAGTGTTTTCTTCACCTCTTTTCTCTGGAACTTCACAGAATACTCTTTTATAACAGAATAATACGGATCTGAAATAGAACGCTGAATGAATTTAGAACAGAATATTAAGATTTATGGTTTTATAAATCTTCGAAATGTCCTATCACATTAAAATTCGGTAACAGCAAGAAGCAAATAGCTTTCATCAGAGAAATAAAATCTGCTCTTTTAATTTGTTTCGCCCATAGGTTTTTCTCCACTCTTCGGAAGTAAAACGCTCCTGTGAAATTTTCGTAAGCCGAAACTATGTAAAGCAGAGAGCAATTATCATTAATTTAAACAAGGAAAGTCTTTGAGCATTCCTCATTGCTGAAAAACAAATTCTATCTTCCCACTCCAAACATCTCTTAAGAACCTGGAATGGCAGTAAAAGAAATTATGATGGTATAAATAAATAGACAGCAGAAATAACATACATGCAATGTAACTGCATCTTCCTTGATTAGAATGAAAGTTATGTTCGAATAAGTAATAGTACCCATGACGATAAGTTGGTAATCAGTTCTGTAGTAGTTCTCCTACTACCGAAAGCGAATTGTATATAAGAGGCAGAACGAAGACTAAATGTTGTTTATCGTGATTTTACATTAATCCGGTTATAGTGTTTATAGCTTTTCTACTTGCCTCGGCCAGTGTAAAATGTTGAAGTTTGCTGTGCCTTAAAACTCATGGGGAAGAATCTAATACTGTGCTTGGATGCTAAAATACTTACTTTTATTGTATATAGTTTTGCAAATCATCATTACTTCTTGTAAAATTAATGCAAACTCTTATGCTACGTCACAATTATGAATCTTTCACAGTCATTGCATAACTTAAACGCTGAAACATACTTCCTTTCTCTATTTTTCTTTATAGAAGCGGAAACCTTTCGGATTTCCTTTGCTAAAGGTAAAACGTGCTGGTTTTGCTTTTACAAATAAAATTTCACAGAGTGAACGTCCATAAAGTTGAGCGAAAGTGTTTTTCACGCGTTTGTCACCCAATTCTGTGGAGAAACGTATTACTGTCATCAGTGACAGGTGCTCTAAAACTGAAAGTACTGCTAAAAGAGGGCTCCATCAACATGGCATGAAACTGTCTGAGTCATAGGGAAAACAAATGAATATTATTAAACTGTCACTCCTTACAGTGACTCTTAATTTTTTTTCTTTTCCATGTACTCATTACTAGACTTGAGGAAGAGTAATTACCATTTTTCTTTTCAGTAACACTAAGATTTTATTTACACAGTACATTCGAAAATAGAATGTTAACTTAATTGGGATTAGAGACTTTTAGCGAAGTATTTCCAGAATTTTTAGATTATTACATTGCATTACGTTGCAATTTATATGTCATATACTCATCTTCACTCCACACAGTCTCAAGCATAGCTGTCTTTCAGCGTGTTGGCATAAGACAAAGTGAGAGACCTTTAGAATTAAATTTATTTTTTAAATTAATATTTACCAATGACAAACTGGGTAAAATATTTGAACACTTTCATTTCAGCTTCGATTTGAATGATAGATAAAGTATATGAAAAACGTATTGTTTCTAGAATCAAATTTCATGTTAATATAAACGAACGAGATTATAAATGATCGTAAATATGGATTTCTTACCGGATTAACCATTCTACACACACTTGTCAAGATGAAATAAGTAATTGATGAGAACAGAAAAGCTGGCATCCACCCAGCTATCTTAAGCCTAGATACTAAAAGTGCTTTTGATATGCTTTGTTACTAACCATGATAAAAGGGCTTAAAGAAACACACTGCTCCTTAAATTCATTTGAGGTTATTATGAACTATCTGGAAGACCGCGAATTATTTACCATTCACAATAAGGAAGTTGGACAATAAGCAATAATGGCGCGGTGTATCTAACGAAGTTCTGCAATAAATCTCCGCATTAAAATTTCTACATCTCTGGTTCAGCAGTATTTCTATCTAAATTAATATTCATTTTAGTTTAAAAAGGAATTTATTAGAGGTGCAAAACAAATTAATCTAAACTAGAATCTATTTAACATCTCATCCACAGCATTCAAACTGCATCAAACAAATCGAAAACAAGTTCCAAAGTTCAAACTATTTCCACTTAGCGCTTAATGAAAATGTGCTTCTACTGATTTTCGCGTTGCCATTTAGAGGCAGGGAAAAGTGTCTATTTAAATCGGGACAGGAATAATAAGGAAACAGATAAAAGGCTGCTCTGTACTAGTTCTGCATTATGGCATATCACGTTTAACAGTTTTGTTAGCTAAATGGTGAAATTATGTGACTGCGATAGCTTACGCGGATGGTACTATATTTATTGTTAAAGGTAACGCTAGAGAACAACTGGAAAATCATTGCAATATGATTATTAACTGATTCGATTCGCTCTATCCTAAATACAAATTAACAATCTCAGAAAATAAATATTCGGTTCTTATTATCAGTAGACCTGGTAAAAAATGACAAGTTTATTTTCAAATTCAATGGAAACTGAATTAAATGTGTTAAACAACTAAAAAATATTGGTTTAATATAGAATGGATAACGCATAAACAAAATTTCAAAAAAATGAGAATAAAAGTTATTACAGATCATATTAAAAGATTTCAGGGCATAAAATGGGGCTTGATTACATATATACTTCAACTGGTGTAGCTATTGTGCTTGTAGATTTTCTTCTATAGCGTATTCGAGCTCTGCATGAGACCATTCTGAAAACTATACTGCAACTCAAAGGCAAGTAAACTATGACGAAGAAGCATTTAACCCACGCTAATCACTCCCTGCACGATTTTCATGTCTCTTCCTTAAATAAAAAGATCCAATGACTCTACAATATTACATTTTTTAAAATTTTGTCTAAACTGTAATAAGTATTTTGGTACGTTATTTGTTACTCGTCTGAAGTTAAAAACTGAAATTTTTTTGGAATGGAATTTTTGTTTTATTCCACATCACGATTTAATTTGAAGAATGTGAAATTTCTAATAGTGTACTTCTCTTTCAAATTTTGATTTGAAGTTTTCATATTGTAAACTGATTTTTTTTAAGTGTGTTTAGAAGCAGTATTTTTGACATTTATCTTTCCTTTTTTTATGAGAACAAGCCAGATAAGGAACTGGTAGGAAAAAAAAAAAAAAAAAAAAAAAAAAAACAGTAGCCGAATATCTGGATAATCACTTTTCTGGTGCATACTAATCGCAAGTATTTCTTCTTGTAGGTGGCAGAAGACAGCATTGCAGAAAGAGCCGGCCTTAGGGAAGGGGACGAAGTGATTCAAGTGGGGAGAGTGAACGTCCAGGATATGACCCTTAGCCAAGCACATGAGACACTTGCTAGATGCGGCAATAAGATTGAGATGTTTGTCATAAGGTAAGTTTCTCACGAACATCTCTTAAAATATTTGAGTCACTTCAAGTGGAGATTTTACGTCTCATCATTTTTTTAATCTATTTCTGAGAAAGTTCTTTTAAAATTGATTAAAGTATATCTGGAAAGTGAATATCAAAACTATATAGTATTTTTTGGCAGGGAATTTTGAAAATCAATACATGCTTGCAGGGAAATGAAACCGAGGCTTCTAGTTTGTAATTTTTTTAAGTGTTCTCTTATTTAGTGAAACAGCCAGTACTAGACGGCCTTTATAGATATCAAGGAAAGCTATCGCCTTCAAATAAAAATAAAGAATTTGTTAAGCAACTAAATACTAAAAACTTTAAATTTTAATAATACCAGATGCATTGTATTTGAATTGAAATGTAATGTATATGGATTAGCCAATTACAACTAGAGAACAGCCTCCTGCTAGTGATAAGTACTTCAACCAACAATAATCAGTTTTCTCCTATTTAGCAACACAGAATTGTTTCAAATGGTATGGAAGTGCAGGTTGATTGATCTCATGACTTGCTTTTGAATCTGAGTTCGAATCCAGAGCAAAGAACGAATATTTATGATAATAGGGGTACAAGAGCTCTCACATTCTATCTGCCCGGAGGTTTTCATCACTAATTGTTTTGTACGACGACATTTTCACTTTGAGTTTTTTTTTTCTTCGTAATGTTTTCGTCGGCGATTTTTTCTCCTGTGATCCTCTTATTATATGTAAAAAATTTTTAGGGTTTTTTAACACATGCTACTGCTTGATGTTCGGAACTAATCATCACAGGGTTCCGATTTTTGAACCGTTCAGAAGAACAAGAAAATAGCTTTCAAAATGAAATTTGTATACGCTATTTACCAATGCTTGATTGTTTTATTTTAAAACTGTTCAAAGCTAATGAAAAAAAAAATTGCGGCTGTCAAGAATAATCGAGAAATTTCTACCGATAACAGATATTTACTATACTGATTAAAAATGGTTTTGTTTTCATAGGCAGTGAATTTCATTTTTGCGTTATTTTTTCCCTTTTTAATGAACAAAATGTTAGAAAATAAAATTGTAAAAAAATGCATCTTGAGCTGCTGGGTTTTCAGTTAAATTCACTAAACAGTAAAATAATATTTTTTAGTTACCGTAATGTTCTTTATTCCTATGACTGCGATAAAAAACTGCGTGGAGCTTTTTTAAAAGCAAAGCATTAATGCACATAGTTTTAATAAGCAATAGAAATGCCAGCATACAAGGGACAAATATAAGAATGAATGAATTCAATTTACCTAACTTTTTGCCAAATTTGATTTAAAACGCATAATTTTTAACAGCCAGTCCAAGGATCATATTTTTAGTTACATTTGATCTAGAACAGTGGCCTCAAACCTAAATTACATTTGGGTCGAATGCACGATCTAAAGGAAGCTTTTAGGTCGAATTTCTTTTAACCAAAATGAGGAAATATTAACAAACATTTTCTAAAAAAAACTAAATTTTAAATTTATTTACATAATATTTATCAGACCATATATAACAGCAATAATACTAACACAAACAAAAGCACTTTATATTTATCTTCTGTATGAAATCTAAAGGTTGGTATCTGCAAGATATTTCTGACAGTTACACTTTGTCAAAGGTACTGCCAGTTAAATACATTTACCTCAAAGTATTCTAATCTGTTCAATAAACCATTAAATAATTACTTAAACTAAAAATAAACAAATTACGAATCTTTTAATTTGAGATAAAACTTGGGACAAAATATTTCTTTTATTTATTACACTTTTTTTTGAACTCATCAGGAAAAAATACATATATTTGTATGTAAATAATTATAAACTTTTTTATTTCGTACTACTATACACAGTTACGACACTGATTAGCATTTCGATTTTGAGAAAGTTTGCAAGGTTGGAGAAAAATTTCTAGAAACTATGACGAATTGTATATAATCGGCCAGTGTTATTCTTTTTTTTTTCCAGAGATTTCTTAATTTTCTGCTCCGGAGACAAACTTAAAAATTTCAGACACACAAAAAAAAAAAAAAAAAAAAAGCTCAAACGGGGGCGTTGTTTTGAACGTTTGTGTGTTATTTTTTCATTAAATTCATGTTCTCGCACTAAACCATAAATTCAATTCAAATAGCCTACAAAAAAATTTTAAAATGAGAATTTTCTTCAATTCCGAACACGTCTAACCTCTGCGATACTAGCCATCTGGGCTTCCAGACGCCCATATCGGTGAGGATTATGTTATTCAAATTTGATGGCCTAGTCCCTTGTTTTACCACAGTGCGATAACATACAACATTCTTCAATTCTCATTATTCATTCTTTAAATATAATATAGGGCTCTAATAGTTGGTGGCAACAACTTGAAAAGTGAATCAACGCAAAATGTCAAAACAAAATTAATAGTCCTTCTGGGCAAATTGCCCTTTTGGACTAAAAAAAAAATCATATAAATGCACCCCCAAACAAAGTGATTATTCTCATTGCAAAAATTCTTAACTGAACGTGAGCTTTTGATAAGTGCAAAATAATAATAATAATAAACATATAGACCAATAAATAAATAAAAATCTGAAAGCTTTGTTATTTTATATTGCATTCTGTTGTATTTGAAGATTTGGTGTTCTTTGTAGTGATGCATGTAAAGCCAAGGTTCTCTGCTACAGAAGTATAAACTGCACCAAGTTGAAAAATTAAAAGTAAAATTTAATCAGTGCGTTGTATCCTTAAGATTTAACAACATAGGTGAACATACGTGTCAGAATTTGACACGTTAATGAACTTATACGATGGATAACGGACTAAATCTACTAGATTGGTACAATGTGATATGATCCTGCTTAACAGACCTTTTCATATAGGCAGGTATATGGCGATGTAGATAGATAATCTAGAATGTTTGAGTAGATTCTTGTTTCCATTGAACTGTTCATTATGAGGGCTCCTCGCATCACGTTTCTGCACCACTCTTGCAAAACGAAATTAATAGCCATTTTGGGCAAATTTACCCTTTTGGGCTAATAAATAAAATTTTATTTCATATTTTTAAATAAGATTTATATTACAGTGCGAATTAATTAGCTTCACTTGTAAATATCCTAAGCAGTTAGTCCCTTTTATGTTTCAGATAATGAATAATGCAAAACTGGAATTCAAATCGTTAAATTAATAACTCTCTCGTGAAATTCTTGTCAAAATAATGCTAATCATGTTACTGAAAATGAATTCTCAAGCCACGAAAAATTACTTCGAGATCTCCAGTCTGAGGTCACTGATCTAGAATATTATGAAAACTAAATATTTATTTTATTTTACTTTATTTTCCCTTCCCGTCATTTAAATAAAACTGCACTAAATGCAAAATAAAACGAAAAAACATTAGTACTACTAAAAGTAAAAAGGTAAAAAAAAAGAACGAACGGCAAAGGCCATTTAATAAAATGCATATATATATCTAAAAATGTCTTTTATTAGCAGTTGCTGTTAATATAATTCTTCTGCCCATAATAAGATATAATTCATTAGGAAATTTTAAATAAATATCTCATAGAGAGGTTTTATTAGCCAATATATATGAGAAATGATGCAACTTTCAGTTTTACAAAAGATAATGAATAAAGCTGAAAACGAAGCATAAAAAACACATCTAAGGCAGTATATGCCAAATTTCTTGGGATCTAAGAGATGCTAACTATACAAAAAATTGTAAATAACATGGTAACTTGACAAAACCCATGACAGAGCTATTTCAGATGTTTCCCGATTGCGTAGTTTCTGAGGGAAGAGACATTCTTTAATAAGATATCACGTAATTTTATTAACAGGGAAGAAAAAAGATTAAATTTATTTTACACAACCTCCTGAAGAAGGATGATGCATTTGACGTTGAATCAAACGTCGTTAGGAGTGACGACGCTGACGGAAACTCGACATTGATTTGGTGGAAAGTTTCCAGGATGAATACAGCCTCTGTGTCACAAACCGAGAAAGTTGTGCCAGCATTATTTTAATCTATACATGTGCGTAATGTTATCGGAAGAGAGGAAAGCTTCACTGTTTCTAGAATGCGACAGCTGCGAATAAGTGTCTCCACATTTATTCCGATCAAAGATGTTTTAACCGATACGCCATTTCGGAGGTATATTTTGAGATTCGATTTGGCAATAAACGTAAATAGACATTTTGAAGCTTGCATGCCCAACGCAAGGAAAAAAAAAACAAAGGGGGAGGGGAGGAACACGTAAATGAATGTATCAGTGTTTTGGAGATTCAAAAAATAAAACTTAAAATCCAACGATTTTAAGGTTGGCAGGAAATATGTGGCACTAGAAATATTTTTTGCTAATTAATATCACAAATACTCATAAAAACTATTTGGATATAATGTATTTAAAATTATACTAGCTACGTAGATTTTTTTAAATGTAAGGAAATTAAACAGAAGGGGATGATAGTAAAGACCACTGGTTGTCGGTGCGTACAGAGTTTTGGATCAGCCAGTCTTCGTCTTAAAGTTTGAATATCACTGGTTGAGAAATGTAGCCTTTACCCTTGTCTCAACATAGCGATAACATTATGGTGAAACACTGAGCTGGAATTCGTCTCTGGAGACTGGGACTCCATTGTAAATGCAATAGGTTGCGCTACTTTTAACTGTTCGCTCACTGCATAGTGAAGTGACCAGCCTCGGTGGGGTTTGGGTCCTTTAGCCGCCCGACTCACATATTCTTTTTGTCTATCTTACCGAGGTGGATTCCCATGGTGGTCAGAAAGACTTACTTTCTACCTCCATGTGGATTCCAAAGGGGTCACCAGTACCTACAAGTCGATTGTCGTCAGTGTGGGGTAGGGTATGAAATTAACATAGTCTATTAAAAGAAATTTAACGCAAAGAACGCTGGTCATCACCAAGGTCATTCGTCACCGGTATTATAGCTTTGCAATCAGTAGTACGAGTAGTGAAATGTCTGCTTCGGTGGTAACAT